CAATGTTTGAACTATTTTTGCATAGACTAAATTACAAAGCAGTGAAAATCATTAATAGGCAATCGTCCGATGGGCTGAGTTGCACAAAACGCATGATTGTACCGGTTAGTCTGGTGCGCGTTGCTATTTATTTGTTCAGAAACTGTAGAGTCGTTTTGATAGCTGATGGGGTTCACTGTTTTGCAGCTGGTCAAGCGCAATATGTGAATTTGCTTACACAGACAGTATTGTATCGTCATCGATTTCGTTGTGCTGTTAGCGATGCGAAATTTTCGCCAGACGGAAGGTCTGCTTGCTTCCAGTGCCAACTTTCATAATATCAGCTTACAACAGCATCACATTTTCAGTTTTGAAGAGTCGGCCCATATTCTGAAATTCTTTGTCATTCTGTTATTTTACCTCTCTGCTTTTTAAACTTTTTTCCGATTTATAAGAAAGTAGCATTTTGCGGGCTTACCAGAGTATCTTGTTTAGTTGCTCGATAAAGTGGATGAAACTTCCAAATTACCATTATTACTTTTGTTATAGGCGATTGGCGGTATGTGTTGGTGGCGACGTGCAAGTGTTTTTTGTGATGGGCATCAAAAATTTTCAATTGAATCCGTTCGTTTTACAGCATACACACAAAATCACTGCTGAGAAAGTGAAGCACATGGAGTGGAGCTATGATAACCGGTATGTGCTTCTGCATTCTTTATATTTATCAAAAATATATTTTTTTACTAATAATCAGCGGTGCCTATCATCGGATTAAAACTTTTATGAATTCACGAGTGACTGGTCTCTGAGATCGTAGACTTTCCGCTCGTGATTCGTATTACATTGTTTAATTATCAGGAAATATTTGGGAAGCAAATCTTGTTCAACTTTTGGCAGGAAGTCTCAAAAACTAGGCAATTACAGCCTTAAAACAGTGTAGAGCATAAATCGTTTAATTATTTGTGCTTGTAAGTGTTTTGGTAGTTTTTTTAAAAAAGGAGAAAAAAATAAAGAAATTTGAAAAATGTGAACTATGGATATTTGTTTGGCGTTGTAGGCCAGCTAATGAAAAGGACACAGTCGAATATAGTCAATTGTGGGAAAGCAGTGAGTGCTAATTCAGATATCCAGATAAGCGAGCCTGTATGTGCATTAGCTGTTGTCCTATCTGTGTTTCATCCCTAAACTGTAAACACAGACGGCAGAGCCGGTGCGGAATGGGGTGGGATCATCATTACAGTGCCCCACTCCGCCACGTTTTGAAAGAATGTGTGGCATTCGGATGGAAGATGAAGAAAGAAAGGATGTGGAGGTAACTGTGTGTAAAATAACTATAAGAGATATAAATAAAAGTAAAACTAACATGCAGCAGATATGCCTCCGTCATTGATTTTTTTACTGGTAGTTCAGTTGATAGTGCCATTTTAACTAAAACCGGTAAACCTCATCAATTCAAGCGCCTGTATGTTGTAGTAAAAACTAAATCCCAACAGTGGTGTCCCTATTGTGCTGGAAAATTCATTACGGTCTGGCAAAGTTTTCTAATTCCCTCGTCATCTGCGTCAATGAATTTGCTTAGAATTGCACGATTCCGGAAACAGAATTTTAAAACTCTTTACATTCTGTTAGTATCATATCCGCGACAGACATAGATTTTGCTGAGCCGTCTAGCCCACCATGTGAATCTGTGAATTGTGCTGCAAATTCCAGCATAGCGTAGCATCTGGGACATAATTATACCATCATTAATAGGGGGATCAACATCAGGGTGGCCGGCTTGGTTGACTGGGAAGGGATAATCCAGAGTTTTATTGTAAACATCAAACGTGTACCGTCCGTCAACACAGCTGATTGCCAAGTCAAGAAAAAACGCGAACCGTCCGGAATAAGT